TCATTCTCCCAGTGACAAAGCGGGAGGCACAACCACTAACCCGACCAGCAGCTAAAACCCAAAAAAGCACTGCGTGGCAGTGCTGGCGGGGAAAGACCCCCGGAAACCGTCACAGTTCCGAGTCTTCACGGCGGGGTCGTTTCTCAGCGGCCTGGGCGAGGATCAACTGTTTTAGCTCAGCCATGCCCTGCGCCACCTGTTGCTCCTGCTGGGCTTGGGCGCAACGCAAGGAGTCGATGCTAGAGCTGAGCTGTTGACCCAGTTGATTGCTTAGGAGCTGCATGTCTGCGCGGACGCGCCCCAAATCGTCCGCATGGTTCTTGAGGTCCGACTTCCTGTCCACTGACTCCTTCTCGACTGCTCCCTGCAGCTGCGCAACACTTGTTTCCAGGGCATGCAGTCGTCTGTCTTGTTCAGTGAGGCGTGCAGCTGCCTGCCCGTCAAGGCCTTTTGCAGGTTGCGGAGGAAGGCGTGGCGGCGCCGTCGGCCCCGCTGCCTTTGTTGCGAGGTACTGACCCCACGGGTCTTGGGAGGACCACGGGTCCTGTGTGTCAGCAGCAGCAGCGGACGCTGACGATGGCACTGGCGCACGAGGGGGTTCCTCAGCCTGGATGACCCGACGCGTGGATTGACGTGGCTGCACGTAAGACACAAGCACAGGCGTGCCGTTGAAGGCCGGCTGAAGGGAGGGAGGTTCCTGATTTGTGCCCAGGAGGTAGTACGCTGGTCCTAACATTTTCAGAACCTTGACCTTCCATGGAAGCTTGCTCGCCCATGTAAGGACATCGCGCTCAGAGGCTGTAGCTGGCAAGGGGCCAACCTTGTACAACCTAGAGACTGGGATGTTTTCTGGAATTGGGTCCGATGGGCGGAGTTGCTGAAAGACAGCAGCAAAGGCGTCGGCCGGGACACGTATTCCGAACCTGCGTCGGCCCCGAACAAGGCCATGTTGAGATGGGACAACGAGGGCCTGTCGTTCAACCTCAGCCTTAGAGCCTGCGAGCCAAACAACCGACCACCCGGGCAAGGGTCTTGAATCCCCCCACGCTTTGGGCACAACGTACACCATACAGAAGCCGCTTTGCTGGAGGACAGTGCGCAGGATGGAGTCAGGCACCTTGGCATGGAACTGCAAAGAGTCAGCTTGGCTTGGCGCAACCGGTTTTCCATCTGCCCGGTATGTGCGGCCCCACGGGTTGACGAAGGGCTTTTCAACGCCTTGGGCCTGCAGTTGTTGCTGGGCTGTGCGAACCGGGCTTTCAATGAAGTGGGACCACTGGACCTCTGCAGGGAGATCATCCCTATACACCGTGAAAGCGCAACACACCATGCCTTCAACTGTCACTGCAGCCTGCGTCTGGTACTTTGGTTGCACATCCGTGGCCCCTACGTTGTGGAAGCACCCGGCGAGGAGGTGTGGACGCCCGGTCTCCACATCCTCGGCCGAGATACTAATGGTTCCCCCGCAGGTCGAAGGCTCTGGGCAATCGTACCCCAACACCGCCACACACAGAGCATCCGACTCCATTGTCCTTAGCAAGGCAAGGTCTTCAGGGGTTGTTGCGGCGGCGTCCTGCAGGATAACACCTGTTGCACCTGGACAAAGGTTTTGCAAGATGGGCACCGGCTGCTCGTCCATGCCACACCATATCCCTGGGCATAAGCGGAATTGCGCGGCCACTGGCACGGTCTGTGCCGGAAGGCGTTGTTTTCGCAAGGCTTTTTGGATTCGGGCAGCTGCTTTGGCAACTCGGCTGTCCCCACTAGGTCACTCAACCCCTGCGGCCTTAGCGTTCTTAGCAAGGTCCTCCCATCGCTGGGCCGGGTCAGTAGGCTTAACCAGAGCCAGGCATTTGGAGGCCCCGAGCTTGTCTAACAGGCGGTCTGTGACAACCGTAGTTTCATGCAGGCTCACTCCTCTGTCCAACAACAGTGAGGCAATCCTCGTCTTAGCCAACTGGACCCCGTCATCCTTAGCGCCGCCACCTCGATGCTCAACATGGACACAAAGCAAAATGCGGCTGGATCCCTTACGGCGGAACAGGGGCTGCGCTCCGTTTGTCTGCAGGTTGCGTTCGACAGGGAGCGGGAACGGGCCCGATGTAACCCTGGCCTTCGGCCAACAACCAGCGAACAGGCTGGCAGACCGCCAGCAGTTGAGGATGGTTTCCACAGTCATTGCAGCGGGCAAGGATGTGAACGCCACAGTCTCGGCCTGGCACTGAAGCTCAACCTCAACCTTAGGGCACCCTGGCGGCTGTGTTTTGGCGAGTTGGTACAGTTGCCCCAAGAAACTTTGCTTACGCAGCAGCCCTTGCATGGTCTCTGGAGATATCACAAAGCCTGCAAGCTTTGGTTGGAGGGAAACTTGTAGCCTATCAACCGCTCGTGGAGGGAAGGCGCCGAAGGTGACCGACCAGCCCATGGCCTCAATCAGCGCAATGGGCAGGTGCATGCACCAATGCGCAGCAAAAGCGGATGGCACTTGGAAGCAGAAACCCTGACCCTGTCGCCTGACCCTCGTGGCTGAGACACTGCTTGGTGCATACTGGGGCGGCTGCATGGGCACTTGATCGATGGAAGTAATAATGGTCCAGGCTGGCAGCTTTTCAAGTTCTGGGACCGGGCGCCCCATAACGTCAAGGCACACTGCGTCGCCTGAACCCCTTCCAATGACTTTCAGGAAAAGGGACTTGAGCTGTGCCAGAAAATCGTGCGCATGTCTTTTCAAGCAACAAACGCCAGAAGGTGTGAGCGCAACCAAGACAGGTGCACCCGGCTGCGGTCGAACATCCCAGGGCACATGGAGAGGCGTGTGTAGTGTAAGTGTTTCTGACGGTTCATCCGCAGGTGTCTGCGTCGCACTGCAGGAGTGTGCACAGCGGTTTGGGCTAGACCCAAAAGAGGTTCGGGAGGTGGCCCCCAGCAGCATGCCTGCAGCCTGTGTCGCACTGGGGGGGTGAGCACACGGGTTAGGGCTATACCCTAAAGGGGTTTGGGAGGTGGCCCCCAGTGCGTTGAAAGCAAGGGCAAAGTCCAGCCCCGGCGAGATGTGGAGCTTCAGTGGAGTGCCTGCGGCCTGTGTCGCACTGCAGGGGTGTGCACACGGGTTAGGGCTAGACCCGAAAGGGGTTGGGGAGGGGGCCTGCAGCACGTTGAACGCAAGGGCAGAAACCTTCGCACTGGGGGGGTTGGCACACGGGTTAGGGCTATACCCGAAAAGGGTTGGGGATGTGGCCCCCAGTGCGTTGAAAGCAAGGGTGGGGTTCATCCCCTTCAGTCGTGGAGTGCTTACGGACTGTGTTGCGCTGGGGGGGTGCGCACAAGGTTTGGGGCTAAACCCGAAAGGGGTCAGGGAAGTGGCCCCCAGCGCACTGAGAGCAAAGAAAGGGCCCAGCCCCAGCAAGAGTCGTGGAGTCTCTGTCGCACTGGGGGGGTGTGCACACAGGTTTGGGCTATACCCGAAATGGGTTAGGGAGATTGCCCCCAGCGCGTGCACAGCAAAGGCACGGTCCAGCCGCAGCGACAGGTGAACCTTCGGTGTTGGAGCGCCTGCGGTCTGTGTCGCACTGGGGGGGTGTGCACACGGGTTAAGGCTAAACCCAAAAGGGGTTCGGGAGGTGGCCCCCAGCGCGCTGAAAGCAAGGATAGGGCCCAGCCCCAAAATGAGCGGTGGAGTGCCTGTGCCCTCTGTAGCACTGGGGGGGTGTGCACACGGGTTGGGACTACACCCTAAAGGGGTTCGGGATATGGCCCCCAGCGCGTTGAAAGCAAGGGTGAGTCCTGTAGTAGCTGCAACGGTCAAACTAGGGGAGTGTCCGCAAATGGTGGTCTCCTGCGCGTTGAAAGCAAGGGTCATTTGTGGAGTGCCTGCCGCCTGTGACATAGGTACATGGTGGGTCCGGAAACTCTCAACAGCCCTCCTACACCCAGCATCAAACAGAGCGTTGAAGAAAGGGGAGACTGGCAAGACTACTGCAAACTTGGCCCTGAGTCGCTTGTCAATACAACAATGCACAGCTACAGCGGGGTTAATGGCATCATGAGGCTCAAACTGCGTGTCTGTAGGGTCATGATCCAGCGACCAGCTCACCTCCCAAGGCACCCGCACGAGTGCCATGCGCATGGCTGCCTGGCTCCAGCCGCTAAAGCCGCCGCAAAACACTTCAGCCCTACGAACCACCTCATGCTTTTCAATGTCCAGTTGCCCCATGAGGAACGCCGGTCCCATCGTGGCGTCCAAGATGACCACGTCACCCTGACAGCATGCCACCGTCCACGCAGCTCGTACCCTACGAGTGTGGCTTGCCAGGGTGTAGAAATCCGAAGCTCTCAGACGTAACACAGCCTTCCCTCCCGCGGTGGAGGGGCAAACGCTGATATCCCCATTGGCCGCCCAAATGTGTGCCTGTTGCAGCACCTGCGCTCTCACCAGGAAGTCCTTGCCTGCCGGCACAAAATCGCCGTCCAAACGAAGATCAAAGCATGCTAGCTGGCCTTCCCGAAGATCCTGGCAATGTGCCGCAAAACCAAAGAGATCCCTCAATGACTCCCAGGCTGGATGCGTCGCTCTTTCATGTGTCCCCTGGTTCGACATGGCAGGGCCCAATTTGCAGGCACGAGGCTACCCAACGACCTCGGCTCTAGTCGCCCTGGGCCGAGAGGCTCGCAAACCCTAAACCCTAAACCCCAAACCCTAAACCCTAAACCCCAAACCCCAAACCCCAAACCCTAAACCCTAAACCCCAAACCCCAAACCCTAAACCCTAAACCCCAAACCCCAAACCCCAAACCCTAAACCCTAAACCCCAAACCCCAAACCCTAAACCCTAAACCCCAAACCCCAAACCCCAAACCCCAAACCCTAAACCCCAAACCCCAAACCCTAAACCCCAAACCCCAAACCCCAAACCCTAAACCCTAAACCCTAAACCCTGAACCCTGAACCCTGAACCCCAAACCCCAAACCCTAAACCCTAAAACATCTCCCGGCTGCGCACCTCCGGCTCCTCCAGCTCCTCCAGCTCGTCTAGCTCCAAGGGTGTGGCGCAGCCTCTTCTTTTGGGAAGGCTCAGGGTTCGGGGTTTAGGGTTTAGGGTTTAGGGTTAGGGTTTAGGGTTTAGGGTTTAGGGCTCAGAATGAAGGACTTGGGATCTAGGGTTGAGGGGCTTAGGGGCTGTAGAGTGATAGAGGGGAGGCCCAGAGGTTTTATTGGGGGATTATTTGGGCTTCCAGGGGTGTAGATTTAGGGCTTCAAGCGTCCCCTTGGCCCTCCCGCGCCTTCATCGATTGGGGTCAGCCTCCCGTTGATCACCTGCAGCTGAACCCGAAAGTAGGGGGTACCTTATTGCGGTCCTGATTATAAGGGAATCCTACTAGTTGGCGGTCTATATATCAAGGGTCCCCTAGTCTCGTAAACTCCCACGTGAGCCGAGCTAGAAGGAGGGTCGTGGGGCCCCCGGAAACCGCCCAAGGCCCAATGAGCAAGCTGGTTGTTGGGCTCTCTGTGCGTCTTCCGCATGGCCCTTTGAAGGATCTTGTAGGATTCTCCTTGTGTGTTGCGCTGATATCAGGAATTGTGCCTCAAGGCTGAAAATACAGCTTCTAGGATTCAAGCTTTAGGCTTTGAACTCGGGGTTCATGATGATGATGAGTTATTCATGTGGAGAGGGGTACCATTCGAGAATGCCCTGAACTCGGTGTTCAGGAGTAGGCTTGTTTCAGAGTTTTAGGCTTGCCAGAGCAGAGGCCCAGCTTCAAAAGAAACCAAAACGGCACCTCAGTGCCTTGAGCCCTGAGAGGCTTAGTTTAGGGTTTAGGGTTTAGGGTTTAGGGTTTAGGGGTTTAAGGGTTTAGGGTTTAGGGCTCAAATCTAAATCCCTGACTCCGCGAAGCAAGTGAGACCCGGCCGCAGGAAAGCAGGAACCTCCTTTTTGCTTATTTGGTTTTCGCATAAGAAAACAGAAGAAAGGAACAAGGGCAGCACTGGGGATCCTAGGTGATTCTGAGAACCCACCTCGTCTTCGGGTGCTTCCTCGTCATGTGGCTCGAGGGCGTCTGCTTCCGCCTCCTCCTCCGCCTCATCGGGGCCAGCATAAATCCAACAAACTCCCAACCCTGATGAGCTCGTGTGCTACAGTTTCTTGAACCTCAACTGCTGTTCGAATCCTCGCAGACAAAAAAGCTACAACGTGTCGTGGCCCAACTAAGCAATTCTCAAGATCGCGCTAGGAACCCAAAGCCCAAATCATGAAATCATCGGTTCTGTGAACCTTTCCGAGCGTTTTGAAGCCTTTTGGCGCCTTTTGCGCAATTTGGGTGCCTTGTGTGGCGTTTGGGGCGCTGGTTGATGCTGATTTTTTGGCGCGGTTTGGCCTTGTTCGTTGTCCTGGCCAACGGAACGTGAAGATATACAATTTCCATTTCTCCAGGGCTAAGTGGACAAGTACAAAGATATGGCCGGATATGGCCATTGTTGGGAGGACTACGGTGCTCGACCCTAGACCCTCTAAGGTCTCAATGCCCTAAACCCGCAAAATCCTGCCTGCGAGCTGTCGGAATCTGAGTCCTCCTCTGACTCCTGCTTGCTCTCTTTTCAAGGCTTCTACCAAGGGTCATAAGCAGGGACGGTGTAAAACCATGACCAAAGTCACGTTACCTAAATCCCCCCCTTGTAGCTATATGCACCTCCAAGAAGGGTGTAGGCCTCTGTGGCCTCTCAAGCATTAAAGACTTGCTGTGGGTGGGAACCCAAGCGCGAGGGCGAAATCTCAGGCCTCATTAAGCCTTCAAAAGCTCGAACAGCCTCTGCTGACAGGTCCTGATCCTCCCTAAACCCTAAACCCTAAACCCTAAACCCTAAACCCTAAACCCTAGACCCTAAACCCTAAACCCTAAACCCTAAACCCTAAACCCTAACCCTTCACAGCGTCCTCCTCGGAGTCGGAGGTCGATGCCTCGGAGCTGGAGCTGTCGGAGTCCGACTCGGTCTCCGACTGGCCACAGCGGGGAAGCTTGGCGTTTTTTTTGGATTTCTTAAGGGTTGTTAAGGGTTTCTTTTCAGGGTTGTTTAAGGGTCTTTAGAGTCTTTAGGTTAGTCTGTATCATCTCTTTGTTGAAAATATATAATATATATTTTAAGGTCTTTAAGGTATTTTTTTTCAGGGGTGTTAGTTTTGTTCTTGAAAGTTGTTTTAGGTCTAGCGTTTGGGGTTGCTTCAGGGCTGTTAGAGGGTGACAGGGGGGCTTGGGGTTGAGGTTTCTGTATCAGCTTCTTGCGAGGGCGTTCAAAGGCTTGGGGGATGTTTTTCGGGGTCTGGTGTGTCTAGGATTAGGGTTTAGGGTTTAGGGTCTAGGGTTTAGGGTTTAGGGTTTACCCCTAGCCTAACTGCCCCTGTCTTTCCCACAGTGTGGCCTGTACAAACCACCGATCGCATTGCAGAGACCTGAATTAAAGCCTTAACCCCCAACCCCGCATCCTAAACACCACACCCTAAACCCTAAACCCTAAACCCTAGACCCTAAACCCTAAACCCTGAACCCTGAACCCTGAACCCTAAACCCTAAACCCTAAACCCTAAACCCTAAACCCTGAACCCTGAACCCTAAACCCTAAACCCTAAACCCTAAACCCTAAACGACAAGAAGGCCTCCCCGGCTTCCTCGGGGGAGGTGGCGCGCGCCGGCTGAAGATCACCCTCCTAGTCAGGGTTTAGGGTTTAGGATTTAGGGTTTGGGGTTTAGGGTTTAGTTGCAGGCTTTTAGGTTCGCGATTAAAAGGTTCAAGGTGTAGATCATCATCTAGGATGGCACTCGAACCCCTCTGAATAGATTCCTAAATAAGAGACTCTGAAACCCCAATAGGGAAAAAGCAAAATGTCCCAAGGGCCCAGCGTCTCAGGACGGTGATGGATGGAGCAGAGCAAGATAGAGCAACACAATAAACATCGTAACATCAACTGCCTTCCGCCAGGTCGTAGCCCTTTCCCGTGTGCAAGCATCTAAAGCCATGCAACATCACCCCACCGTGGTGCTAGGTTTCGTTGACCTGTTCGTTTCAACCCTCTGGATAAGGCGAGCAGTCCGTTGCATGTGGGATTTTACGAAAATGAGGGACCCTAAATACATAACCCCAAATAGCAGGATTCCCCCTTACAACCAAGGACCCCAACAGGGTACCCCGAATATCGTAAAACGCCATGTTTCCTCACACGAACTTTGAAACCCTCAGCCTGGTGCCATTCTTTTTTGGCGTCCGGTCCGGTGCTTCTGAATCTTGGGATGTTCCCCCTTATACTAACAGTCCTTAATAGGGATTATAGTATGCCTCTTATAATCCCTATAAAGGCTATCAAGGACTGCTAGTATAACGGGGAACATCCCCAACTTCTGCATGTTGAATCTTGGGTGGCCCCTTTTTTGGGGCCACCCGCTGCCTACGTGGCTTACGCCGCGGCCGTGTTGTTCCGCGCGACGGGCTTCACGATGGCCGAGCCGACCTTGAGCCCCTTGAAGTTGATGGACTCAAGCCTGATCTCATCCTTCCTGGGCTGCTGCTAAGGGTGAAGGGTTTAGGGGTTTAGGGTTTACGGTTTAGGGGTTTAGGGGTTTAGGGGTTTAGGGGTTTAGGGGTTTAGGGGTTTAGGGGTTTAGGGGTTTAGGGGTTTAGGGGTTTAGGGGTTTAGGGGTTTAGGGGTTTAGGGGTTTAGGGGTTTAGGGGTTTAGGGGTTTAGGGGTTTAGGGGTTTAGGGGTTTAGGGGGGAAGGAGTCTTAAGTTGAGTTGCCATAAGGGAGAAAGAACCTTATGTTTGGCAAACAACCTTAAACTAGAACGACTCTTGAACAAAAACAAGCGGTGTGAGCAAAAGCAAAGAACAGGTACATAAAATATGCATATGAATATGTATGTATGTATGTGTATATATATATATATATATATATGCATCTTATACATACATACATACATACATACATGCATGCATGCATGCATGCATGCATGCACACACACACACACAGACAGACAGACAGACATACATACATGCCCACATACATACATACATAACACACACGCATGCATGCATACATACATACATTGTCTGACGGCTAACGTTGTTAAGGCCCTTAGCAGCAACCCAGCTTCGTGAATGCCAGGTCGAAGAAGCCGTAGGCTGTGCTCCGGTCGTGTTCCTAGGTTCCCAAGAAATTTAGGGTTTAGGGTTTAGGGTTGGGGGTTTAGGGTTTAGGGTTTAGGGTTTAGGGTTTGGTCTGGTCTGGGCAACTGAGAGAAGTGTCCGAACTCCGCGCTATGCCGAGCAAACAACACATGCCAAATGAATTATACTTGAACAGTTTAGGGTGTAGGGTAACCCAGGAAAGAAGAAAAAACTTCGTCAGTTTGTGATTTAAGGCTAGGTTCCTTTTGGTTACACATGAAGCTGCGCAAAACAGGAAAGTCCTTAAAGCCTAAACCGTAATCCCTAAACCCCAAGCCCTAAACCCGAAATCCTAAACCCTAAACTCACACCTTAAACCCACACGCTAAACCCCTACAACCCCAAAATAACCCGAAACCACCAGGCGGTCCCTGGTTCTGGCGACACTTCCGAGGTGATTCCGCCGCCGCCTCCCGTGATGAAGCCTTGGCCACCAAAACATTCAGAAAGAAACATGGCTAGCTTCTCTAACGAAGGGGTTTAGGGTTTAGGGTTTCGGGTTTCGGGTTTAGGGGTATTGCATGGCTAGTTTCTCTAACTAGGGGGTTAGGGTTTAGGGTTTAGGAATTAGGGTTTTTGGTTCAAAACACTCAGAAAGAAACATGGGTTAGTATCTCTAACTAAGGGGTTTAGGGTTTAGGGTTTGGGAATTAAGGTTTTTATGGTTTAGGTTTAGCGGCATTACAAGGGTAGTTCTCTAACTAAGGTTTAGGGTTTCGGGTTTCGGGTTTAGGGTGTAGGGTTTAGGAATCAGGGTTTTCCAGGGTTTAGGGGTATTACATGGGTAGTTCTCTGAATTAGGATTAGCGTCTGAAGGGGCTATATTTTAGTACGGAGAGTCATATAATGGGTACGCAACAGTGTCCGTGATTTAGAGAATGCCCTGAACCCTAAACCCTAAACCCTAAACCCTAAACCCTAAACCTTAAACACTAAACCAGGAAAGCTAGCCAAGAAGCAGGTCAGCCCTGCCAGGTTGTCCCACTTGTCGAAAATGGACTGAACGTGGGTGTGGCCTGTCACCAAGAGGTCCAGCCCAAGCTTCGTGTGCAGCTCCTTGGCAGCCCGTGTCACAAAGGGGCACCGTTTTTTTGGCTGGTTACTTTATAAAGAGAACCTTGAACCAAAAGAAGGGACAAGGGTACCACAGGGCTACCAAGGCTCTCTGTACCTCGGCTGCTCTTTCTTGCGCTTGGCAGAGTCTGGAGTTCAACCAGTTGTAGGGTTCATAATCTCACCGGTGGGTCGTTGCTTACTATCCTACACAGTCTTTCTGAAGTGAGTTTGCCCTGAACCCTAAACCCCAAACCCTAAACCCTAAAACCCTTAGCATTTAGGCCTTCAAACCCGAAACGCTGCCAGAACCACCATGGCACCACTCCGCCTGGTGACCGCACTGGAAGTGTGTGGCGATGATCTGCCAGTCGGCCGTCGACTCCTCTCCGACTCACCCTAAACCCTAAACCCTAAACCCTAAACCTCTCTTTCATATATAATTTAAATGTTAAGGAGTTACTGGGCAAGGTCGCCGTTTTACTGGGCAAGGTCGCCGTTTTACTGGGCAAGGTCAGTTCGGTCAAAAAAACCGACCTTGCCCAGTAAAACGGCGACCTTGCCCAGTAAAACGGCGACCTTCCGCCCCTGCCCAGTAAAAATGCGACCTTGGACCCCGAAGGTCGCCGATTACTGGGCAAGGTCGCCGTTTTACCGGGCAAGGTCGATTTTTTTGACCGAACTGACCTTGCCCAGTAAAACGGCGACCTTGCCCAGTAAAACGGCGACCTTGCCCAGTACAACGGCGACCTTCGGGGCCGAAGGTAGCATTTTTACTGGGCAGGGGGGGGTGTCCGAAGGTCGCAGTTTTACTGGGCAAGGTCGCCGTTTTACTGGGCAAGGTCGCCGTTTTACTGGGCAAGGTCGCTGTTTTACTGGGCAAGGTCGCCGTTTTACTGGGCAAGGTCGCCGTTTTACTGGGCAAGGTCGCTGTTTTACTGGGCAAGGTCGCCGTTTTACTGGGCATGGGCAAGGTCGTTCTATAAGTAAAATATTTCTTAATGTTGTGGGATTCTTTGGGCGGGTGGGTATTTTCCTAGAGTAATTGCTTGACTAGTGAATGCTTGGACTTGAGATGCTGAACGCTAAACCCTAAACCCTAAACCCTCAACCTTAAGTTTTAGGGCCCCAGGGTTTACGACCTTTGGGTTCATTGCTTTGAGGCTTAGGGTCTAGAACCCTACAGGGTTTAGGGTCAACGATCTTAGGGTTTTTCAACGGATTCATGGGATATTTGAGGGGGTTTCAAGAAGAGTTTTCAGGGGTTTAAAGTTTTGGGCTTAGAGGGTTTAGGATGTTGGGTTTACGGTTTTGGGTTTAGGATGTTGGCGGTCAGGGTAGATCATCTCTATTTCACGGTCGGGATGGTACCAACAAATCAGTTGTCCATTCCTTGTTGAGCTCAAGTACCCTAAAACAACTCAACATGCTACCCCACTATGGCAGAGATCTGGGCTACGGGTGCACTCCAATCCCGAGATTTAGGCTTCCCCGAAGTGAAGGCTCCTCTTCCGATGAAAAAAGTAGAGGGGTGCACGTAATCAGGGACTCCCTCCCAGGGTTTAGGGTTTAGTAGGGTTTAGGGTTTAGGGTTTAGGGCCCCCCCCACCCCCCAAAGCGCAACCAAGGGATCTGCACATCCCTAAACCCGAAATGCGATTTTGGGTTTAGTAGTACGCCCTGTTGTAATCCCAATTAAGGACTGTTAGCAGAAGGGGGAACATCCCAACCTACACCCCCAAAACCCCACAACCCTAGTGTTTATGATTTGGGGCCGCTCGACTCCTCGAGTTTCTTCTCCGTCCACTTCTTCTCGCTTCTCCTTGGGCGGGCATTTCTTAACCCCCCCATCTTACTTCTCCAATAATCAAGGGGAAAAGAGGTTAAACCTTGATAGCGGCAAACGTGTTCTTCTCGGGACCACCATGCTCTCTGAACCCTACCTTAACAGCCGGGCATCCTTTTCAAGGGAGGGATGGTAGCCCAAAGTCCTGATCTACTCTCCTTTAACACCCTAAAAAACACTGATTAGTGCTGCTCCGCAACGCCAAATTGAGGCTTACGGGCTACGGGTTTGAAGCCCGCCGGGCTTTAAACTCTATCAGCGCCACCAGCCCTAGAAGTCCTCCAAGCCCTACAAAGGCGACAAACCCTAGGATGTATACACCCAAAGCCCTGCGCCGTGCAGCCTAGACCATAGGATGACCCTTAAAACCCCTCTGAAAAGTATTCCTTCAAAAGAACCCAACGAGGGAAAATCTACCATATCCCGGCCCACCTAGCAACCCTAAACCCTAAACCCTAAACCCTAAACCCTAAACCCTAAACCCTAAACCCTAAACCCTAAACCCTAAACCCTAAACCAACCTTCAAGCCCTCCGGCCCTGCATCCAAGTCGCCAGGTGTCCCACATGAACTTGAAGCCTTTGGCTGAA